ACCTTCGGACCTGAAAAGCAATCCCAAGCAAGCACTTTTGGTAAGGAAGCACTGCATGAAGTTTGAGTTTGATCGGCCCAAGGAAACTCAAGTTATCGCACGAAAACAGATTTTCTATTTATAGTAAGTGACCTATGTGTCACCAGCTTTTCGCAGGCGACACAAAAAACATCTAAGATAAGACATGAATACTTACTCCCATGGCAAAATCAGGAGGGTACAGTAAGGGTTGGGACAGTCAGGATGGGACAGTAAGGGTTGAGATAGTAAGGGTTGGGACAGTCAGGAGGGAGCAGTAAGGGTTTGGATAGTAAGGGTTGGGGCAGTAAAGGTTGGGATAGTAAGGGTTTGGACAGTCAGGAGGGGCAGTAAAGGTTGTGATAGTAAGGGTTTGGACAGTCAGGAGGGGGCAGTAAAGGTTGGGATAGTAAGGGTTGGACAGTCAGGAAGGGGCAGTAAGGGTTGGGATAGTAAGGGTTTGGACAGTCAGGAGGGGCAGTAAAGGTTGGGATAGTAAGGGTTGGGAAAGTCAGGAGGGGACAGTAAGGGTTGGGATAGTAAGGGTTGGGACAGTCAGAAGGGGACAGTAAAGGTTGTGATAGTAAGGGTTTGGACAGTCAGGAGGGGGCAGGAAAGGTTGGGATAGTAAGGGTTTGGACAGTCAGGAGGGGCAGTAAAGGTTGTGATAGTAAGTGTTTGTACAGTCAGGAGGGGGCAGTAAAGGTTGGGATAGCAAGGGTTGGGACAGTCAGGAGGGGCAGTAAAGGTTGGGATAGTAAGGGTTGGAAAGTCAGGAGGGGGCAGTAAGGGTTGGGATAGTAAGGGGTGGGACAGTCAGGAGGGGACAGTAAGGTTTGGGATAGTAAGGGTTGGGACAGTCAGGAGGGGCAGTAAATGTTGGGATGGAAAGGGTTGGGACAGTCAGGAGGGGGCAGTAAAGGCTGTGATAGTAAGGGTTGGGAAAGTCAGGAGGGGGTAGTAAGGGGTGGGATAGTAAGGTTTGGGATAGTAAGGGTTGGGACAGTCAGGAGGGGGGAGTAATGGTTGAGATAGTAAGGGTTGGGATAGTCAAGAGGGGGCAGTAAGGGTTGGGATAGTAAGGGTTGGACAGTCAGGAAGGGGCAGTAAAGGATGGGGTAGTAAGGGTTGGGACAGTCAGGAGGGGCAGGAAATGTTGGGATAGAAAGGGATGGGACAGTCAGGAGGGGGCAGTAAGGGTTGGGATAGTAAGGGGTGGGACAGTCAGGAGGGGACAGTAAGGTTTGGGATAGTAAGGGTTGGGACAGTCAGGAGGGGGGAGTAATGGTTGAGATAGTAAGGGTTGGGATAGTCAAGAGGGGGCAGTAAGGGTTGGGATAGTAAAGGTTGGGACAGTCAGGAGGGGGCAGTAAAGGTTGGGATAGTAAGGGTTGGGACAGTCAGGAGGGGGCAGTAATGGTTGAGATAGTAAGGGTTGGGATAGTCAAGAGGGGGCGGTAAGGGTTGGGATAGTAAGGGTTGGGACAGTCAGGAGGGGCAGTAAAGGTTGTGATAGTAAGGGTTGGAAAAATCAGGAGGGGGTAGTAAGGGTTGGGATAGTAAGGTTTGGGATAGTAAGGGTTGGGACAGTCAGGAGGGGGCAGTGAAGGTTGTGATAGTAAGGGTTGGGATAGTCAGAAGGGGGCAGTAAGGGTTGAGACAGTCAGGAAGGGCAGTAAAGGTTGGGATAGTAAGGGTTGGACAGTCAGGAAGGGGCAGTAAA